ACTAGTGGTCAACATAATATATGAGGAGATTTGAATAGAATGAATAGTCTAAGTTGTCGAAGAGAGGAATATTTACTTAGAAACGAGTTGCATAAGGTGATGACAATCATCGTACCAGCCACGGGTTGCGTCATCAGGTGAAAGCGATTGCACCAGAGAACGAAATCGGCACGACAACGCGTGCAAAACAACGGCACGTAGGGGGGGGGGCGGGGCCAGCTAGGTATATAAGGCGCGCCGAATTGCAGAGCAGGAGCGTTTGTTTTCAGGTTAGGTTTAGGAAGAAGAAGAAGAAGAAGTAGAAGAAGAAGAAGAAGAAGAAGAAGAAGAAGGAGAAGTGGAAGCAGAAGAAGAAGAGAAAGAGGGAGAAAGCCGTTTAGGTCTCAAGGAGAGAGATAACGGAGGGAGTAGAAGGCCGGGTTTTCAGGTAGGTGAAACCCGGAGAACAACGGGGTTCTGTTCCACTGGTACCACCTGTTATTTGCTACGGCATCACCGTCCTGCCTAATATACCGGCAGGAGCGAACACTGAATCCAAACAACTAGGACACGCGTTAACTATATAACGCCTGTCGTACGTAGTCGGCTACCCCTAGGGCCACTACAGTTGTAACACCTCTGCTCACGCTGCGCCACCTGCTGACAAAGCTAGCGGTTAACCCCATTTGTAACGCTTTTTTACTACAAGTTTTACAGCAGCCACGTTACTCGTATGCTATGTAATAAGATTTGGACTAATAAAAGTTGCAAAGATTTTAAAAATCCAACCATTATTTTATGAAAAATTTGATAAAATAGTGATACGAAATAGTGCGCGTATTGTGCGCCCATTTACTACTTTCAAATCATACGCTGTTTACGAATCTCCATTCGCTGGATTTCCCCGGAGCTCCGCCCACTTTAAAAATAGTGCTAGCATTGTGGCAGTGGTATCCTGAGTGTACGAAGGTGCACTGCATGCAGTTTGAGCAGTAGCAACTCGCGTACGAAACGGTTTCGGATTCGGTTCCGAGATTTCGGTGACCAGCTTGCCAGTACTGGTAGCGTTAACTGTTGGATCGTCTAGCCTGGGCTTATTGATTTCTAGGCGCCCGATCTACGTACTGTTATATTGGGTCGCGCTATACCAGGAGTTGCCACTCGTTTTAGTGATGCACGTGCTAGAAAAAATAGCAGGGTCGTCATTACTTTTTTTTAAACCATTTTTTTTAAACTACTTTTTTTTAACGCATGAAAACGGTCGAAAAATGTAAAGGTTTGTTACTTCCCGAATGCGTAGCTGTGCTTTAAATGCTTCCTATTGTCCAGTGATGCTTTTTTATAATATAAATCTCACACATATAAGATACGCACACAAATGGACGTTATATGGCTTTTATTGATAGCAGTTTTGAAATCGAATACGTAATTCGTGTATACGTCATTCTGTGTCACAGCGTGT